CGGTGCGGATGGTGCAGCGGCACCTGAAGCCGGTTATCTAGCTCACGCTTCAAAAGTTTGGTCTTGGGCGACCCTTGATCGGGTCAGCTAGGAGGTCTCTCATTTTTGTGTATAGGAGAAGAAAACAATTACTTGATGATTCTCAAAAGTGGAAAGCAGTTCGATTGCCCATAAACCCTGGCATTGTGTGAGGTCTTGTGTTTGTTGTGATATTGTAGCCACAACCGGGGTAAATTGATTTTATTTGAAAAACGCTTCGTCTAGTCGCCTTCGTCACCGATTTGACGCATACGGTAGGTTGGTTTGAGAGCACTGCTAGATTGACTGAATCAAATTGTTCTAACGCCTTGGTTGTGGCTACAATATCGCATTAAGGATAAGTCGCATCGCATTAAAAAATAAGTATATTTCGGAGCGGGAATAAATGTGAAGGCGTGTCCCAGAGAGATCCCAAAGACGGGGGGGGGGGTGGATCAAAGCGGGAAGTTCCTTCCTCTTTATAAAGTTGTTTTAGTTTCGATCCTCTTTCCTTTTTATCATTTGCCTCAAAAGTACCCGCGAACAGCAAGTCAGTGTACGCTTACTCAGTCTTGTTCGCTGCAGACGAAGGGGCATGTCAAGCGGGAAGGTCTGGCGCGGCGCCAAACTCGTTCCCCACCACTTGTTGGAGCGAGCCAGCAACAATTGGATCATATCAGTACCATCGTTTCGTACCAAGTGGTGTTGCTTACCCGTTTTGACAACTGGTAAGGAGCGAATTCGGCGCCGCGCTAAGGCCATCCCGCAGGACACACCGCTTCATAGACAGCGACTCAGACTATAACTAGCCGAAGCAAGATACCATTGAATGAGTGACGAAAAGTCCAACGCTAAACTACAGTTGACCATTTCCCTCCACCACTTTCCTCAGATCCCGCTTTTCCATCTCCGCACCTTCGAGGGTATGTACTCACACTCCATATCCCATAGCTGTGGTAGCCATGGACATCTGAGCATAGCGTAAGATGTATTATTTATTATTCATTTATTTAGATGATTATTATGATATCTGAGTTTGAAACAACTGTCATATTGTTCTATATTAGACAAAGACATAACCACAATTGTAAAACGTGAAAATATCTCACCAAAAACGCAGCCGCCGCCATGGTTGAGATGATGTTCGTAGCCACACCCACCGCATATTCAGGTTATGGAGTATGGATGGGGAAATTTCGAAATTCCTGACAGCAAGGAGAAAGTGCTTGAAATAATTGTTCAGTGTCAGCTCTCCCAGGATAAGCATCCATGGCTCATCCAGAAACGGCACAAGATAACCCATATTAATTAGACGTTTTTATTTGTATGATTTGCTACTGCTATTTAGTTTTTGTTCTGCCACAGCCGTCACTGGTGAAAATTATGGGCGCTCCAAAGATGCTCCGCTGTTCCGAGCGCTGCGTTAGATTCTGTAAGAACTGAGGCTGTTCCGAGCACGAGTCGATCGAACCAAAGTGATCAAACTGAAAAATTTCTCCATATGGGCCTTATTTATATCTCATTTATTCCATGTGACCGAATCTCAAGGATAATGACTCTTAGAACCATAGTGAATGTCATCGAATTCCTCGAAAGAATGGACCATTGAAGCGGAAAATGACAACAATATAATAACGAAATGACTGATGCGAGAAATCATCGGAAGCAAATCTCCAATAGCAACAGGCTTATATCTCAGTTGGTGCGACTTCGTGCATTTTTTACCAAATAAGTATGAAACTTTGTACTCATTTCAAAGTTTAGAATAGCAGAATAGATCGTAGAAGCTTGAATGGACTAAACTACGAGGGGGAAAAATGGGGGTGCAGTGAGGCATGCTCCATCCGCCGTCGGTCACTATTTAGTTGAGACTCCTCTCAGACCATAGCCTGGTACCGTGAAGTGAGCTCTTGCCTTTTTCAGTTGGAACTCAAAGGGCTGCATTTACTGGAGGTGTCGAAGGGATAAAACATGCATGGACGCTGTTCCATGGAAGGGATTTATGTGTTTGCAAGAGCTACCAGTCTTGTACACATATCCCTGAGATGGAGTCCTGCCTGAGCAAAATGTGGGTTCCTTTTTTCCAGAAGTTGGGTGGCTGGTGTTGTTGGAGGAAGAGTAAAACGCTGGCTCGAGCTCAACAATGCTTCTCGAGCCAATGCGTGAATCTCAGGAATCTCGAAACTACTCTAAGGCTTTGTTGTCTACAGCAGAACACGTGGCTCATCTTGAGGTAATGAATTGAGAGCAGCAACAGGGTTTAGGCTGGGTTGCCGTGGAGTTAAAGGCAGGCAGCACGATAAATTCCCAAGTGGGACAAGATTAGACGCCTAGCAGGACAGGTTTCAGTGCCCCTGACCAGGCACTGCGTGGCGCCTTCTCCAATGAAGGTACCTCTATAGCGCCCTATCGAGCTGCAACATACCGACCCGGACGCCCACCGCCCGCCCGCCCACAAATGGACGACCGTACCTGATGCTCGTATTGCTTCATTTGCGAAGTAAAATATGAAGCGAAGGGATTGTATGAAGCGGCTGCGGTGCTGCATGGATATATGAGTACATACATGCAGCCGTACCTACCGTAGCGATTATTGCACGATGCCAATGGGAGATCTGGTAACATTTTAGACCAAGTACCAAATTCTCGTGTCTCACGCC